GAAATGCACATCAAAACCAGAATGATACACCCAGGATGGCTATAATGAAAAAGGTGGATTAATTACAAATATCGTAAAAAATGTGGAGAAATTGGAACCCTTGAACACTGACTGTGGGAATGTAAAATGCCTCAGCTGTTTTGGAAAATGGTCTGGCAGTTCCTCAAAAGGTTAAATATAGTTACCACATGACCCAGCAATTCCATTTCTGGGTACAGAAAATTGGAAACATGTACACACAAAAACTTGTAATGAATTTCACAGCAGCATTATTCATAATAGCTAAAAAGCAGAAACAACCCAAATACCCATCAACAAAATATGGTATTTCTATACATTGGGTTATTATTGAGTCCTAAAAAGGAATGAAGTACTAACATGTACTATAATAGGTATGAACCTTCAAAGGGCCACATTATTGTATGATTCCATTTATATGAAATGTCCAGAATAGAAAAGTCCATAGAAACAGAAAACAAATTTGCCAAACACATGTGAGAGGGAGGAAACAAGGAGTGACTGCTAATGGTGACAGGGTTTCTTCTGGGGGGTGATAGAAATGTTCTCAAATTAAATAATAGGGAAGGCTGCAAAAACCTTGTGAATATACCACTGAATTGTACCTTTTAAAAAGATGACTTATATGGCATATGAAATATATAAATTAAAAAAAAATGTAAAATGCAGAGTTGAAATGACTCTTCAAAAATCCAAGTTTTGGGGTGCCTGGGTGGCTTAGTCAGTAAGTATCTGACTCTTGGTTTCGGCTCAGGTCATGATCTCGTCTTTGTGGGATCCAGCCCTGTGCTGGGCTCCATGCTCAGTGTGGAGTCTTCTTGAGACTCTCTCCCTCGGCCCCTCCCCCAGCTCATGCGTGCACACACACTCTCTTATATAAATAAATAAATCTTTAAAAAAAAAAAGTTAAGTTTTATCTTTAAAGGTTTGATTTGGAAAAGAAAATGAGAACTGTAGTACATTTGTGCTTTGTTATAAAAAATTCCATTACTCCTCCCTATAACCCCCATCATTTCCTTCCCCTTCCCCAAAACCTCTACCCAACTGCTTCTAAGTAGTATCATGTTATTATTACAGACTGAGTATTTTAATGTTTTCTTCAGAGAAAACTGATTTTCATTTGGGTACTTTTTGACATTAAAAACCACTCACCTGCTGTTTGGTACTCTTATTGGTTTTGACCGAATAGTGGATGTCCTTCATAGCTCTCTCAATAAGGATAACAGTGTATGGTCTCTTTGTTTCAGGGTTCACACACTTGTCAGCGACAATAGTTGCAATGTCCCTGAACATCTGCTCCAGCTGTGTATGCCGTTCTTTATCTGATACTTGAACCTCTCCTTTAGTCAAAATCTAAAAAAACCCCAACAGATTTAAAAAAGCAATGTCTTTATTGCACAGTATTTGTTAACCACAAGAATTAGTAACTTGGGGAGAAAATTAAATTCCATCCTTCTCAGCTATTGATATATAAGTAACAATTTGAGCTTCACCGAAGGGATACGCTGGATTATCTTGCGCTCTAAGATCTTACTTATTTAGGTGGGGAAAGGAGAAAAGGCAATCTTACAAAGGTTGTAAATGGTGAAATCCTTGAAAAGAAATTCTATTTTCAAGTATATTACACTAAAAATATATAAATGGACAAAATAAAGCAACTTAGTAGAAGACTTAAATTTTGGAGGCTTGGCAAAATTGTTATGTCCTGAATTATTAAAAACGATGCTGTACAACAAAAAAACCCAAGTAATCTGATTAAAATGAGCAGAGAACCTCAACAAACATTTTCCCAAAGAAGACATACAGATGGCCAAGAGACACATGAAAAGATGCTCACACCACTCGTCATCAAGGGAATGCAAATCAAAACCACAATGAGTTACCACCTTACACTTGTCAGAATGACTAGAACAAAAAACAACCACCAAGAAATAGTAAGTGTTGGCGAAGATGTGAAGAAAAAGGAACCCTCATGCACTGCTGGTGGGAATGCAAACTGGCGCAGCCACTGTGGAAGACAGTATGGAGGTTCCTCAAAAAACTCAAAGTAGAGCTACCATATGATCCAGTAATCGCCCTACTATTTACCCAGAGAAAACAGAAACACTCATTTGAAAAGATACATGCACCCTTATGTTTACTGCAGCATTATTTTTAATAACCACGATACTGAAGCAACCTAAGTGTCCATTGATAGATGAATAAAGAAATGGTGTGTGTGCGTGTGTATAAATACAATGGAATAATATTACTCAACCATAAAAAAGAACGAGTCTTCCCATTTGCAATGACATGGACGGACCTAAAGGGTATAATGCTAAGTGAAGTAAGTCAGAGAAAGACAAACACCACATGATTTCACTCATGCATAATTTAAGAAAGAAAACAAATGAACAACAAACGAAAAGAGACAAACAAAAAAACCCAGACTCTTAATTATGAGACTAAACTGGTGGTTGCCAGAGGGAAGGTGGGTAGGGAATGGGTGAAATAGATATAGGAGATTAAAAGGCATGAACTGCCAGTTATAAAATAAGTCACAGAGATGAAAAGAACGGCATATGGTTTATAATCAATAAGACTGTAATAACGCTTTTCTGACAGGTGGTGACGACGCTTATCATGTTGTACACCTGAAACTAATGTAACACTGTATGTTTATTATACTTCAATTAAAAAAAGTGATGTTACAGGGGTGCCTGGGTGGCTCAGTCCATTAAGTATCTGACTCTTTGATTTTGGCTAGGGTCATGCTCTCAGGGTTGTGAGATTGAGCCCTCCAGGCAGTGGAGCCTGCTTAAGATTTTCTCTTTCCCTCTCCCCGTCTCTCACTTAAAAAAAAAAAAAAAAAAAGTGATGTTATTCAGGTTGAACTACTGTAGGATAACTATTCACTCCCAAAAAAAAAAAAAAAAAAAAAAAGTGATGTTATTCAGGTTGAACTACTGTAGGATAACTATTCACTCCCAAAAAATAACGTTTTAAAGTTTAATATACCTATAAGTACTTCTACTACAAAGAACATTAGAGTCAATTATGCTGCAGATGTTAGAACTCACCTGCTTACAGATTTCCGTCTGGTCGTCTGTTCCAAATGCACTGATCAGATCTTCCTTCTTTGCAACCTGACCTTTAGAAACATTTACAAACACTGAATGGGTCTGTAGAACTTCATCAAGGTCTTTTTCCCTTGTGACAGCAGGAGAGAAAACCCTAAGTGAGCACACTTGAAACTTTGAAATTCATTCACATTTTAAATACAAGATGGCAACGATATAAACAACAAATACTCCTAACCGACCCTCAGTGCGAGGGAACATTTTCAAAACTCAGAACCACATTTGTGCTCCCACTTACTCACTGAGACAAACGTCACGGGAGTACGCACGAGACCCTGAACGGGAGCGGAGGGCGGGCGGCTGCCAGGGAATCCGATCCCTAGATGGCAGCAGCGGACACTACGCACCTCGGTGAAACTACTGGGCAAAGATCTGTGATCAAGATGTTCTACGGCTAGGGGAACTATTTTTGGAAGGCTAGGTCCCAACGCTTTAATGTTATTTTGGCAAAACGACCGTATTTTGGGGGTTTCTTGGCTGTAGCTTTTACGACACCAACCGATTAAAACAAAACCCCAAACCAACAACCTAAACCACACGAACCAAATAAAAATGGAACCCTTGATTTAGGCGCTAAGCTCGGGAAGGACAGTGATTCTCACGCTCACAGCCGGAATAAATTTTCCGTTTCCTTCCCTGCCAAGACCCCAGTTCATTCGAAGACCAGGGGGTAGGCCGCCGCGGAGGCAAAAGTCCGGCCAGAGCCCGGAGGGAGAGGAGTCACTCACACGCCGCTCCGCCAGCCGACGACTTTGTTTTTGTAGCAGGCGATTTCGAAGCGCTTCCCGGCGCGCTTCATCCGTACCACGGCCACATTGGTTAGGCGGATCTGGTTGGTGGGGGTGAAGATCGACATAGTAGCTGCTCACAGACGCTGGGTCCAAGGAACCAAGGCTAACCCGCGCCGCCGGTCTGAGGACCAGCTGCGCCTCGCTGTAATGACCCAGCGGCGCGCGAATCGACCACTATCTGCTCCGACGGCCGCCACAACACACCCAGTTATCTTATTGCGCAGGCGTCAGGTGTCGCAGAAACCAGGAGAGGAAAAAGAGAGCAACAACGCCTGCGCATTGTGGCTTTTACGACATCGTTCCGCGCCCGACAGGAGGCGCACTTCCTTACTGTAATATACTTCCGCCAATGAGCTAAGGAGCTCTGATTGGCTGGTGAAGTTGATGTTTTAGTGACCGGGTGGAAACGTGGCGTCGGCCCCTCTTAGTTCCGCAGAGTTCGGGGCCACACCTACCTTAACTCTTTATTGTGGAAAAATTGTGAGATTAAAAAAGTTGAGAAAAAAATATGATGAACCCCCATGAGCCCATCTCCCTGCTTTAACAATTATCAGCATTTTGCCATTCTTGTTTCATTCTCCCTATTTTTTTATTGGAGTAGATTAAAGCAAATTATAAGATTTTAGCTTTAAATACGTCAGTCTATACTCCTTCCGGATGCACTCAACATCACCCAAGGTCCTTAATATCATCTAATAGTCCACAACCAAATTTCCCGAAATAATGCCTTTTTATAGTCGGTGTGTTTCAATTGAGGACCAAACAGGACCACGGATGGCATTTGGTGGAAAATACCCGCTTAACTCGCCCGCCATTTCCGCGTTTCTTTCCCCTATGCCACGCCTGTCTTGGCCTTGCTCCCCATTGGACCCGCCCCTTGAACCTCTGCACCAATTCGGGAACGTTCGGATGCGCTTCGGCTTCCTAACCCTTAGCCGTGGGCGGTGCTTCCCTCGGGGCCCGCCCCTTCCCCTCTGAGCCAATCCGAGCGGGACTGGGAGGGCTTCGGTTTCCTCGCGCGGAGCTGTAGGCGGGGCTTCCCTCTGGACCCGCCCCTTCCCCCTCTGAGCCAATCCGACGGGGTAGCGAATGGCATGGCTGCCGCCAGCGCTCCGTGCTCGGGGTATACTGATAGTGCTTCAAGCTAGTTTGGCGGTCTCCTGGTATCCGCGCCGGCCGCCAGGTTTTTCAGGTCTGCAGTCCTAGGGTCTGTCGGGCCGCAGGGCCTGGGCTCTGAGGAGAATGGGTAAGGGCCCCCCGGCGGGCAGAATTCGCGACGCGGGCGGAGAGAGGAACCCGTTTTTCTCAGACCCTCTCCCAGCGGAGTGGCGTCCTCGGGCCCGGTCCTTCAGATTGTTGTTCTTGTCGGCCCGGGACGGGAGCCGCTGACAGCAAGGGAGGACTGAACCTTGCTTTTGACCTGGCTTTTGCCTCGTGAGGCTAGGGATGAGTTCAGAAGGAACTATGCTTCTAACCTCAAGTAAAACGCAGAGAAAACTGCTCACTCTCTTTACCCACGTGTGCTGATGGCTTTTGGTTTTTTCCATGGTGGAGCAGCAACTGCAAAGCCCACTTTTGTCTTTTCCACAGTGGAGCAGCACCTGTACACCCCACTTTTTAGGCTTCGCCTTTTGAAATTGCCTCCAGGTTCGACATTTGAGGCCAGATCTATTCGTATCTCACTCCAAAAAAATGGGGTGTGAGGTCCGTTGAGAACCCTTTACAAGTAGCAGTGGGTCTTTAAAACTAGAAGAAAGGGAATAGTTTAGTACTTTTTAAAGCTTTTCTTATTGAGCACACAAAACAAAGCAAAATTCATAATTCCACATGAAGTATTTCAACTTCTCTTGCTTCCAAATGCTATATCCAAAGGAAGGTACAATTTTGTATATTTTCCTGCGTTAGCATTATCTTCACGATAATTTTATCATTACCACATGCAGCGGTGTATTATTTTTATTAGAGTTGATTTTTTATAGATTTCTTAGCTGGGTTCTTGAAAATGAAGATTGGTTTTATCTTATTTTTTATGCTTAAAATCAGGATGAGCAGCTTTATATATGTAGCTTTAAGTGAAATTACATGTATGTATCATTTTAAATTTAGATCCTTCTTTGGATACATGGGACTTCTCATCACCTTTAATGTCATTATGGATGAACAGGTTTTACGTCTATTTGGGCTTTGCCTTTGGCATTAGCCTTTGGATTTGTTTCCAGATTGTCATCAGGAAGCAGGTAAGTGGAATTATTTTTTATAGGAGAGTGTTAAGATACTAGATTTATAGAGAGGTTAGAGTGCAGATTTTCTAAGGTTTTCAGAAAAGCTAAAAGGAACTTTCAGTCACTTTTATGTTTGGTCTCTAGACATTTTTTTTTCAATGCCTAAAGAATTTATTCTCGGTTTTTAGAGACTAAGTTATTATGGACTACGTTATTTATGTTTTCTTTGATGGGCTGTGGATGTCTCACTCTTAAGGTACAGGAAGATTTTGTAATGAAAAATTAAACTTGTAAAAAACAATCGTATTAGCATCTTCAAAGGGCAGTTATCTTCTCTTTTCTTACCACTAACTAAAGATCAGTAAATGAGTTCCTACTGTTATTCCACTAAAGCACATTGTGGATGAATGTATGTATAGTTTTGTCCTGGAGGAAGTAGGGATCTTTATAGTCTTAAGAAATCTGGGTCCAGGGGCGCCTGGGTGGCTCACTCGTTAAGCGTCTGCCTTCGGCTCAGGTCATGATCTCAGGGTCCTGGGATCGAGTCCCGCATCAGGCTCCCTGCTCGGCGGGAAGCCTGCTTCTCCCTCTCCCACTCCCCCTGCTTGTGTTCCCTCTCTCGCTGTGTCTCTTTCTGTCAAATAAATAAATAAAATCTTAAAAAAAAAAAAATCTGGGTCCAGCCTTTAACGTACCTAATTATACCAAGGGGTTAATATTTGAGGAGTACACCAGAAAAATTAAGAGAATAGTAAAATAGGTCAGTATCTGTGCTGGTTTTCGTCCCAGTTGAAGATGGGAAAAGATTCAAACTTGATGGATTTTGTGCAGTTGTTTATCTTCAAGGACAAGAACTCACAGAAATCTGTTCCAAAAGCAACTGGGGATTTGATGACAAATGGTTATATCCCTCTTCAAAAGAAGGAAGTCTTTGTGTCTGGAGTGAAAATTTTCTATGGTTCCCAGACTGGAACAGCAAAGGTAAGAACTTTATGTGATACTTTTCCTTGGGTTTCCTGATCTTTTAGAAGATCCCTTAAAAGTGTCCACTCACAGTGAATGGAATTGGTCTTCTGATTTTTTTTTCATCTTCTTTTTTCCCTTTCCCAGCTTACATTTTTCCTTTCTGGGGTGGTGGGTGGGTTTTTATTCCTTGTGCCCAATTCCAGCTAATTGGTGGTATCTGATGGTCACTGTCATGAAGGATCTTTGTTCTGGAGCTTGCTTCTGCCTCAGCGGAATGGAGAGTTCTAAGCCAGTTATTGATGGTTGTAGAAGTAGGGGTGAGTGAAAAGAGAATGTCAGCAATAGTGTCCATTGTGGGTCCTGACTTTCACAACTTCACACATCTACTTTATAAAACGTGTTTTGATTTAGTAGTGTTAAAAGTGTTAACAATAGACATTGAATACTGTTTGAAGTAGACATATGCTGCAGATGTATATGCTGCTGGCTACTTTGTTATGAAGGTCACAGCTATTTAGTGCTTTCTAGGAAAAAATTCTAAGGTGAACATGGAAATGAAGTTTAAAAAAAATCAAGGTCAAGTTATTTTTGTATAGTACTAAACAGGGTTGTACTGCCTTCTTGTGGATATTTTGTAGAATAATATTTCATAGTTTTTCAGATCCGTGGTGCTTTGCTCCACTTCATAGTTGAAGGTCACTTGATACTAAGTTCAACTGTAAGCAACAGAGGTGGGAAACTGGAAGAAATGTAAAAAAGGCATCTGAGCAGCCAAAACAAAGTCCTTTTATGTTATTTATAAAAGATCTCATTCATAGCCTCTCTCATGTGTGTTTTTAATTTTTTCTAAAAGATCAAATCAACACTTGCAGATTGTAACAAATCCAGGCATGAGGAGGGTTCATAATGAAAAGTACTCTCTAGTGAACCTCTTTTTAACTATTTCTTATTTTTGGTTCCTCTGATGGCTATAATTTTAACCCGTGTGTGCTGTATTTCTAGATTATTAACGTTAATTATAAGTTACTGACTCCTTGTATTAATTGACACATTACTCAAATCTCAGTGGCTTTATTGTTGGCCACCTCTTTGTTAATATGGGTTAGATGACTCTCCTTAAAGCTGTGCCATTTGAATTTCCTTATTTTGCTTTCACACTGAATGGATTCATATTTGGCTGGGTAAGGGAGATTAGTTTTTCCTTACAACTTTGAAGGTGTCACTTCACTTCAGGGCTAGTCTCCTCATTCCTTTGTAGATGACTTGATTTTTTTGTTTCTGGAAGCTTTTAGAATCATTTCTTTGTCCTTGATGTTTGGAACTTTTTTTTTTTTAAGGTTTTATTCAGTTACTTGACAGCACAAGCAGGGGGAGAGGGAGAAGCAGGCTCTCTGCTGAGCAAGGAGCCTGATGTGGGACTCAATCCCAGGACCCTGAGATCATGACCTGAGCCGAAGGCAGATGCTTAACCAACTGAGCCACCTAGGTGCCCTTATGTTGGGAACTTTTTTGAGATGGTGTCTGGATTGGCTTTTTTTAGCTGTTGTGCTGGACACTTGGGCTCTTTTGAACATTTGTGAGCATTTCTGCTAATTTCTTGGGCAGTTTTTTCCCTTTCCATTTTCTCTTTTTTTCTTCCTGGGACTCTTGTTAGTTGGATGTTAGAGCTTTTGGATGGCTTCTTTGTCTTAAATCCATCCTCTCTTTTTGTAACTTTGTCTTTCTATTCTGGATTGTGGGATTTCAATTCTAAACCTTCTTTTTTGAATGTTTTATTTTGGCTATTATGTTTTTAGTTGCAAAAACATCACTTTTTTCAGTTTTTATATTATTTTGTTATTTAAGAATATATCTTAGTAGGGGCACCTAGGTGGCTCAGTCGGTTAAGCGTCTGCCTTTGGCTCAGGTCATGATCTCAGGGTCCTGGGATAGAGTCCTGCATTGGGCTCCGGGAGCCTGCTTCTCTCTCTCTCTCTGCCTCTCCCCCGGCTTGTGCTCTCTCTCTCTCTTTCTCAAATAAATAACATCTTAAAAAAAAAAAAAGAATATATCTCACTGAATTTGTTTTTCTGTTCCCTGATTTATCTGCTTTCTCACTTTTTCTGTTGCTACTATTTCTCCTTCCTGCTGATTGTTCTTATATTCTTAGTGATCCATGGTTTTCTATTAATATTTAGGACCGAATGATGGGGTAGCTATTATGGATTTTCTCTGTTACTGTGTGCACAGATTTGTGTTCTCTAATTATAAATTTTCTGTGCTCGATGGGTCAGGGCATGCCATATTACCAGATGTTCTGTGCACGGTGGGTCAGGGCATGCCATGTTACCTATTGACCCCATATCTCCCTCTAACTACCACCTCAATTTTTTTCCTTTCCTTTCCTTTCTTTCTTTCTTTTTCTTCTTTCATTCATTCTTTCTTTCTTTTTTTAGAATAAAGCTCCTTGAACGTGTCTGTGCCACTCTCCAAATCTCCAGTTTCCCTACTTCTGTTTTCCTTGGGCCACTCTTGTGTGGCTTGCATGCCCCGAGTGTTCCCAGTGACTTCCATGTTGCTAATTAATTCTCACTCTTCATCTTCCTTGACACTGTTCTCTAGGTCATGCTCCTACTCGGCCAAGGCTAGTCTTCCTCACTGTCATTTGCAGATTTCTCCTCATCTTCTTGGCCTCGAAAGATTGAGTGTCCCAAGGCACAGTCCTTGTCTTTATTTGCACTCACTCTAAGGGATCTTGTTATCTAGAGCAATTTGGCAAACTTTTTCTATAAAGGGCAAGGTATTTTATTTTATATACTGTGTTTTTAGGTTTGTAGTTTTTGTGAGCCATACAGTCTCGTCGCAGCTACTTAGCTCTGCGGCTGTGATGTGGAAGTAGCCACAGACCATGGGTAAATAAGTGGCATGACTGGGTCCCAGGAACTTTTATGTACTGAAACAAATGGAGGGCTGGATTTGACCCGCAGGCCTTGGTTTGTGTTCAGTGGTGGCCTCCCAATATGTTTTTAATCTGAACTGTTCCCCTCAACTCCAGACTCTCATATCCAGTGGCCTGTCGTAGATCTTCATGTGATGTCTGGTAGGCATCTCAAAATTAGTACGCTCCAACTGAACTCCCGTTTTTTTTTGCCTAGACCTTTTCCACTTAGAATCTTTACCATTTCAGTAAATGGCAACTTTATCTTTCCAGTTGCCTAGTTAAAAAAAAAAGAAACCCTTTGAATTCTCTCTTTTTCCTACTACCCCCATGCCATTTTTAGCAAATGCTGTTTGTTCTACTTTCAAAATGGATCCAGGTGCCAGTCACTTCTCTGCACCCTGGCTCACGGCACCCTCTGCTTTTGTCTGGATCACAGCAGTCACCTCACTGCCGGTCAGTCCCCTTCATTCAGCACTGCTCGGCCCGTCCTCTGGCTTCAGTGTCCTCTCAGCTCAGGAGCCACAGGGACTTGGAAAACTTAAGTGAAATCACGTTCCCTTCAGCTTAAAAACCCAGCAATGACCTCCTCATTCACTTAGAGTAAATCACAGTGACCTCACAGTGGCCAGGAGGCCTTCACGTCTGGTTCTCCACTATCTCTTTTACCTCTCGTCCTTGGTCCCCACGTCTCCAGTCTTTTTAAATTTTTTTATTTATTTGTCAGAGAGAGAGCACAAGCAGAGAGAGCTGCAGGCAGAGGCAGAGGGAGAAGCAGGCTCCCCACTGAGCAGGGACCCCCGATGTGGGGCTCAATCCCAGGACCCCGGGATCATGACCTGAGCCGAAGGCAGACGCTTAACCGACTGAGCCACCCAGGTGCCCCCCCACGTCTCCAGTCTTACTAACCTCCTTGCCAAGCCTGCTCCCTCCTTTGGGCCTTTTCACTTACATGTTGTTCTGCTTGGGGTAGCCTCATGGCTTGTCTCGCATGTCCTTCAGGTTTGGCTCAAGTCTATCTTTGAGGCCTCTTATACCAAATACTTGTCATTTTTCCACACCGGCTCTCCAGTTGTGACATGAACTACCCAGAGTTTTTGTCAGGCTCCTCAGGTATAAGGACCCAGTCTGCACGACTGTCTCTGCTTCAGACGCCAGTCACTAGTCCCAGGGGCCACTTGTGCTTGTGACCAGACCAGCTATAAACTCGATACCACAGTCCTCTCCTTAGGTTCGATCATTTCCTAGAAGGATTCGCAGAATCAGGAAATTGCTCAACTAACTATGCTTCCTGGTTTATTAGAAAGGATACAAGGCAGGAGCGCCTGGGTGGCTTAGTCGTTGAGCGTCTGCCTTCGGCTCAGGTCATGATCCCGGGGTCCTGGGATCGAGCCCCGCGTCGGGCTCCCTGCTCAGCGGGAAGCCTGCTTCTCCCTCTCCCACTCCCCCTGCCTGTGTTCCCTCTCTTGCTGTGTTTCTCTCTGTCAAATAGATAAAGTCTTTAAAAAAAAGAAAGGATACAAGGCAGAAACAGACAAATGGCAGACACGCATAGGGCAAGGTCTGGTGGTGAGGGGTGGCTTGGAGCTTCCGTGCCCTCTCTCTACCCACCACTTCCTCAGCACATCAGTGTGTTCACCAAACCAGAAACGCCGAGTCCTGTCATTTAGGGGTTTTAGTGGACATTTTAAATCATTGGCCATGGATGATTGAACTCACTGGGAGCAATGGTGCTGAAAGTTCTAAACCTTTAATCACATAATTGGTTTTGTGGTGACCGTCCCCCATCCTGAAGCTACCTGGGGCCCACCTCCCCATGAGTTATTTCATTAGCTTACCGAAGTCGGTAAGTTCCAAGGGTTTTAGAAGCTTTGTGCCAGGAACTAGGGAGAAAGACTAAATATTTATTTATTTTTTAATCTTATGCACCTGTCCTGACCCTCCCTGTTTAAGATAAAACTGTCCCCAGAGCTATCCCTACCTGTGTTCTTACCCCTTATCCTGATTTATTTTCTTCCATAGCACTTCCATAGCACATCATCTGATTAACTATGTCTTTTCTCATTTCCACGTTTGCTCTGTCTCTGCCCATTAGAACATAAGCTCCTGAAGCAGAGACTGTGTGTGTCTTGTTCGCTGTTGTGTAATATTGCCCAGAACTGAGACTGGCCTAGTAGATGCCCAGTAAAATAATAGATGCTTGGTAGGCTTAGCTTTCATCCTGGGAGATGGGGAACCAAGTGTAAGACTACTAAGCGAAAAGTAGGAAGACGTTTTTCAGAGTGCCTAGAAGTCAGCCATGGGGCTAGAAGTGTTAGCTTTCCCCAAACATTTGGTTCATTTTGTCTGGAGAAGAGCTAGCGGGTGTTTTGTCTGGGGGTAAAGGGCAGATGCTGCCCAGGCTTGGTGTGCACTTGTCCTGTATACAGATTGTCTGCTGATTGGTTCTTCTCTGCCCCAGGTTTCCCTCACAGCTTCACTGTAGTGGCTGCTTCTGCGCCCAGAACCTCTCTAGGGTTTTGTCAGGCATATGGACTCTCCCCTAGGGCTTTTCCTCCCCGTCAACCTGCTTCTGTTTGCTTTCTGTCTTCCAGAAATGTGTCGCACTTCTCATATATCACATTCTCTTCCCTCTTCAGTATTTCTTATCACCTGTATGTTTATTCTAGTGGGGCAAGGCAGCTGGAATGTCAAAAAGCCAATTTAAATGTAGTCCCGCATACGTACTTACAGAGTGAGAACAGCACAGTTGAATGATTGATCTCTATAAAGATGCTTGAGAAAATGGAAGAAGTGGGAATAGGTATTTGTGTTTATGATGATAAGTGTCAGTCAGTGAAAAAGTTTTCCATGATAAATGCTTTATTCCTTTGCCAACAAGAGTAAATGAAGACTGTATTTTGCTTATTTAGCTTATTGAAGACTTTGTGATTTTTTTTTTTTTTTTTCTATTAGGGATTTGCAACAAGTCTTGCTGAAGCAGTTACCTCCCTAGATCTCCCTGTGGCTGTTATTAATCTGAAAGAATATGATCCAGATGATCATCTAGTAGAGGAGGTTGGTAATTATGTTATTTTTTTCTTCAGTCCAAACTCTCAAATGTAATTGATCTCCTGCATTCTGGGATAAATAGAATCTTCAGAATAAATTTGATTTTCATGCTAAGGAGTTTTCAGTTGGTTGCGTTTTCAGTGTCAGTCAGAGGTGTTGAATATGTGGTGTGGGACCTGCCCCTCCGGTGTGTAGTCTTTCCTGCGGCGGGGGTAAGGGTGGGAAAGGTTGGGTGGTTTGAAGTTCCCTCCTCCCTCCTGCTACGGATCTCATAATCAAGTAAGGGTGATGGATGGCAGTGTGCTGAGCCTATGAACCATGTATGAGCTGACTGAGAGGTCAGGAGCCACTTGGGTAGCAGAGAGAATATGGGTTTTGGAGTTAGAGAAATCTCTTACTGCCTGTGTGACCTCTGTGCATTACTTAAGATCTACATGGGTTTAATTGCTTCAGAGAAATCCCTTTCCTTCTCCTAGCTGTACTTAGCGGAGTTTGCCTTATAGTAGGGGTTCTCAGGGTGTGGTCCTTGAACTTACAATATCAGCATCTCCTGGGAACTTGTTAGAAAGGTGCTGCAGATGATTCTGAAGCACATAGAGCAGGGGTTGACGAATTTCTTTTGTAAAGGGCCAGATAGTGAATATTAGCTTTGTGTGGTCATAGGCAACATGTAAATGAACGAGTGTGGCTGTGTTTCAATAACACCTTGTTTAAAAAAACAAAACAAAACAGGCAGTGAGCTGGACTGGGCCTGTGGAACATAGTTTGCCAGCCCCTTCTTAGTGGATAACCCAGCTGTAACTGTCCATTTCTTTCTCCCATAAGAGAATAGTGGAGTGCAAATGAGTGTACTTGAATTTTTCACAATTACTTGTGAAAAATTATTAGCAACCTTTGAGTCTTTATTATTAATAATGGATTGCTTATAACTTATCTCATGACTTAGAATTTTTTTAATTTTTATTATTTATTTATTTTTAAAGATTTTATTTATTTATTTTTTAAAGATTTATTTATTTATTTATTTGAGAGAGAGAATGAGATAGAGCATGAGAGGGAGGAGGGTCAGAGGGAGAAGCAGACTCCCTGCTGAGCAGGGAGCCCGATGCGGGACTCGATCCCGGGACTCCAGGATCATGACCTGAGCCGAAGGCAGTCGCTTAACCAACTGAGCCACCCAGGTGCCCAAAGATTTTATTTATTTATTTGAGAGAGAGAGAATGAGAGAGAGAGAACACATGAGAGGGGATAGGGTCAGAGGACGAAGCAGACTCCCTCCCGAGCAGGGAGCCCGATGCGGGACTCGATCCCGGGACTCCAGGATCATGACCTGAGCCGAAGGCAGTCGCTTAACCAACTGAGCCACCCAGGCGCCCAGAATTTTTTTTTTTTAAGATTTTATTTATTTATTTGACAGAGAGAAACAGCGAGAGAAGGAACACAAGCAAGGGGAGTGGGAGAGGGAGAAGCAGGCTTCCCACTGAGCAGGGAGCCCGATGTGGGGCTTGATCCCAGGACCCTGGGATCATGACCTGAGCCGAAGGTAGACGTTCAACAACTGAGCCACCCAGGAGCCCCTATGACTTAGAATTTTTAAGGTGCATTCAAGCAGATGGAATACCATGGCTAGCAGGTCCGGGGGGTATTTTCTTTCTTCTTGTAGACAGTGGTACCAAGTGTTAATAAGTTACTTTACATTTAAAAAGTTTTGTTGTTTTAGTTTTTTAGGTAAGTTTAAAGTTCTCTTTCTGTGTTTCTTCCTGACTGATTTGGATTTTGTTTCCAATATGACAGTTGGAAATGATAGGAACTTACTGCTTGAGAATTGGAATGGAGTACATAGTTAGGGGCACCTGGGGGTATATTGGCAGGAGCCAGAGACTGGGTTTTCTCCCCATTCAAGGTGTCCTTGCTCTGTTTTCTTTTACTTTTGAAAATGAATAACGTTTTGAAAGCCTTTGTTGTCTGAGGTTAGTACTGATGTGGATGTTAACATTTTATTTTATTTTTTTTTTAAGATTTTTTTTATTTATTTGACAGATAGAAACAGCGAGAGAGGGAACACAAGCAAGGGGAGTGGGAGAGGGAGAAGCAGG